TTCCAAATTATACTAGCAATTGGTCTAGTTCTACTCATTTGCTGGATCCAGTGACTGATGCAGTGGCTGCAATGAATTGAAGATCAGATCACAGAGAAAGGATGTGATGGGGATACTCGCTCGTCGCAAGCACCCCATCAACCGGGGGACTTCATCTTCTCCTGACGGATCATGCTGGGGGCTCTGCCTGTCTCCAGCACTCCAGACCCTCAGCTACCCCCACCACCTGGGACCCCTGATTGATTCAAACTTCATGTAATGGTGAGAACCCATCTCTCTCTCTCTCTCTCTCTATGTATAGCCTTCTGACCCTGACTTGTGTGATCAGTTATAGTTTTCTAAACCTGACTTTTATAATCAAGCTTAAGTTAGATTTAATATTATAACTTTTTTGTTTGTTTGGCTCCCCTATGGTTATTCATGATTAAGCTGGTTGCTTCTCTCTCTCCCCCCACTCCCTTGGGTGTGTTTTGGTTTCCTCATTTGCTCTGCAGCAATGCTCCTCGTACCTAAGCTAAAAGATCCCTGCAGCGCCCAAAAATCCTGTGGGGTTTGCTCATCAAGTAGATTACTACCAGAACAACTGTAATGTGAAAGTGGGGATAAGGACGTGCTGAACCTAGAACATATAAGGGTGGCAGCTTGCTCGACCCAGTCTGCTGAATCCAGGGGCATATGAGGGGGACAGATTGAAAGTGCTGCTCGACCCAGCCTGCTCAGGTGTGCTCTATTCCGGTGCGGTGCCCAAGGCATATGAGGGTGACAACTTGGAGGTGCTGCTCGACCCAGCTACTGAGTCCAGGGACATATAAGGGGTCAGCGTGGGAGTGCTGATTAACCTGGTCCTCTCAGACACGCTCTGTTAATGTGTGTGTATATTTATCTCATTCTGGGGCTGGAAGAACCCAGCCCTGGGGAACCGAGGTCCTGCAGAATAGCTCCATTGGGAGGGAACTTGCAGCAGGGAGAAGTAGAGCTCCATATGAGAACACCAGTGACACAAGCAGTACCTTGATAGAAGTACAGAACCCTCCCCCAATCCCAGAAGAGTAACCCTAATAAATGAGCATTCCCCAAAGTAACGGACAAAGCTGGTAACAGATTTGGGGGCTGGAGAGAATGGTCACTACCTGTCCATATACAAACCTATAAACCAAATTCTTCTGGGTCATGAAAGAGTGAATATGGCTCTTTAGTCTGGCCAGAACATTTGAACTATTTTATGAAGAACTAGGGGGGATGGATGAATAAAGGATGACATTGGAAAAGGGAATCACAAAGGCATCCATCTGGCTCGATAGAGGATCCCAGTACTTGCTATATTATCTGGGGAATTTGTTACTTGCTGGTGTCAAAAACAGGTTCATGGATGGGCACCATCACTGGCTAAAAGTTAGGTGAACCTAGTAGTAAGGGAACTCCATTCTCTTAGTGGGACTGCACCTCAGCTTAGACTGTCTGCAGGTAATTTATCTTCCCTGCTAGGTAACAGGTTCTTAGGGCAGGGAGATTTCTGCCTGCCCAGGCAAAAGTAATTTGGATTCCTTCCAGAAGCAAGAGCTGAGGGTGCTGCCCTATTTGTTAAGTGATTACAATAAACTGTCTATTCAGATTAGAACTGGTTTCCCTGCTAGTTATTCCCAGAGAGCTAGTAGATGTTTTCTTATCAGTACCACCCTAAGCATTAACATATCAATATGCATGTTCTCTCTGAAGAAAACCACCCGACCCAAGCCATCCTCCACTTCAAGGATGCCCTCAACTCCATGTGAGTGACATCTGGGGTAACTATAAACCAACTGAGTTCCAAGAGGAAGATCCCTTTGAACAAGTGACTTCACCATCAGGAGAAACAAGACTTAACCTGAGGTAAGGAAGGGAAGGCAACTGTCTAAATGTGAGAGATTACGAGCTATGGAGAGAATCAGGATCAACTATAGAATCCTAAAACAAAACCAAGGGCAGAGACCTTCAGTGCAAGAAATAAGGAAACAAGCAGGTAAAATGCCTCTTGAACTATGCATCAGTGCTGCAACTGGAATCTCAATAGTCCCTCTGACTTTCATTGTCCTCTCTGATGAAAGCTACACTCTGCCTCAGCTATCGTGAACCAGACTACAGGGAGAACGGAAGGGACACCATCACCTTAAAAATCACACTTCTGTGTGAACTGGTTTTATCTACTATTACAAGAAAGACCTTGGTTTATTGCAACTGAAACAGATGAGGAGGCAAATATTTTTCTTTATTTTTTCCAGGGTGTTTACTTTGTGCATTTGACAGCACTTTATTTATAGGAATTTTCATGGTTTTCCCTGTTCAATCAGTTAATACTCAGCTGCCCCTTTGTGTTTAAGTGGGCTTCTCACACAGCAACAAGGGAGAGAAAATATTGTTAAATATAGGAAAGTGTGATTGTAAACTCACAAAAATAGACATGGAATTCTGGGACAAGTGTGGTATCTGCAACTGTTTTAACTCTTTTTATTTAATTGGCTAGATTTCAAGTAGACAGTTTCCCTTGAAATCCTGTCTCAGGAACAGTAGGCTCTTTGATTCATTCACTACAGGTTCCAAAAAGTTCCAGTGTCTTGCGTATAACAAACTGAGTGTTCAGAAAGGAGGCGCTACTAATGAGTCAAGTAAGGAAGTACTGCATTTTTCTGATTCTTTAAATGCTGCCACTATCAGCACCCATTTTATGAGAGCTGTTGTATGAACAGTGGCAGTCTACCATGCAGCTCACCTAGGCAGAATCAAATAGATTCATAGATTCCGAGGCCAGAAGGCACCACTGTGATCATCTAATCTGACCTCCTATACAACACAAGCCAGAGAACTTCCCCAAAATAATTCCTAGAGCGGATCTTATGGTAAAACACCCAATCTTGATTTAAAAATTGTCAGTGAGGGAGAATCCACCACAACCCTTGGGAAATTGTTCCAATGGTTAAGTACTTTCATTGTCAAAAATGTACGCCTTATTTTCCATTTGAATTTTTCTAACTTCACCTACCAGTCATTGGCTCGTGTTATACCTTTCTCTGCTAGACTGAAGAGCCCATTCTTAAATATTTTCCCCACATGTAGCTTATACCACACTACTATTATCTCTTGAAGTTCTGTGGGACTAGGAATTCCTCAAAAGTCACAGCAAAGATGGTTGAGTAGGTAGGCTGTATATTGAACTTCTTGGCTGGGGTTGGGGGGTTAAGACAAATAGATGTAACCATTTCAGGCTGTGAATGGGATATCTATTGTTCTAATTCAGAAATATAATAGAAAAATATTGATTCTAAGAGATTTGTAGGCTTCAGGCCTCTGGATCTTTCTACAGGGCAATGCTATTTTAGGTAGAAGTGGAAATTTAACTCTAGGATATTCCTCTCGGCCAATACTGACTGGAGGCAATCTGCTTCCACTACCTTTGAAACTCTAGAAGGGGTAGCCGTATTAGTCTGGATCTGTAAAAAGCAACAGAGAGTCTTGTGGCACCTTAAAGACTAACAGATGTATTGGAGCATCTGTTAGTCTTTAAGGTGCCACAGGACTCTTTGTTGCTTTTTACAGTTGCACTGGTTTGGTCAAAACTGTGTAATTGGTTCAATGGTGAAAATGGAAATAAGTTGGCTAGGTTGCATTTAAGGGCAGATAAAAAGTATGATGCTCAAAGAGCTAAGAGTGGAGAGGAGACTCCATTATTACATTTTACTTACAGAACTGCCCATCTTTCCTTTTCGACAATGTGTGTCTTTACCTTTGAAGAATGACTATACTGACAAAGTGAAACACCGAGCGCGTGTTGTGTTTCGTTTCATAAAACCTTTGTGGATTGGGGGAGGGGTGTCACCAAAATCCTGCTTCACGTGGATTTTTATACAGAAACTACGTTTCTCTCGCGGCTTTTGTTCTGGGTACGTCCCAGCCACCTTTGCGGAATCTCAGAGCTCAAACCCCGCGTATGCCCGGTA